ATTTCAAGGATAATTTACTTACGGGTATCCAAAAGTAGTGGCACGATTACCAAATTTCTTTGTAGAAAGGTTGAAAAAATTTTCTTTCTTTATCAAAAGATAGAGCGTCTTTCGCTCTATTTTTCTGTGCTATTTGATCACTATTCAAGTGATATCATAATAATAAAATTTCGGTAAAAACTGTTTTTTTGTTGAAAACTAGCTGGTGGCATTCGATCATAATGGATGGAACATTTTTGTATTTCATTTTATTATCATTGAAGAGATTGTATTTAAAAAAACGAAATATACCATAAGATGCAGCGTGAAAAGCTGTAAAATTTATAAAGGACGGCTTATTTTATAGTTGCTCTTTTTATTGTCAAGATGGACGAAATTCTGAGCGACAAAATTTCGACATTGCGAAGACGAGATGCCTTTTTTTGATAACAGACGAAATCGTTTTTTCTTATCACATCTTTTTATTACCAGATTTACAGTATTAATAAAAAACAAAATACACTACAAGGTGCAACGTAAAAGGCTCTACAATTTACGAAGAAACGTCAAAATTCGGTCGCTCAGACTTTCTTTCATTTTGACAATAAAAAGAGCAACTATAAAATAAGCCGTCCTTTAAAAATTGTACAGCTTTTCACGCTGCATCTTATGGTATATTTCGTTTTTTTAATACAACCTATTAAATTATGATAAAATGAAAAGCAAAAGTGTCTCATTCTTTTATGCCACACCCACCATGATCCCAATACCGCCAGCTAGTTTTCAACAAAATATGAAATTTCATATAGTCACTTGTAAATAATACAGACTAATATGTCGATATAATATATGCAATAATCCCCTCCCCTACATAAGACATCAAGCATCATTATAAAATGAAATAAGATTTTAAATAAATAAAATAAGTTGCATTAGAATACGACAGCATTTTTTATTTTGATACGAATATTTTTTATCAGTAAATGTATTTGATGCGAAATGATCACAAAAACTGGACACATACGATCATCAAATTTATGATTATCAGCAAACCAATTAGTACATGAACAAATAAAATTGCATAAAATAAAATAAGAAGAGAGTTTATTCACATAAGGCAGAATAAATAGCAGAAAAGAGAAGGACAACATAAGGCAAAAATCGTAATAGAAATGCTGTTCAAACTTTTTTGGACGGTCTCAATCTATTCTTTCCTCGATGATATCCAGCAAGTTCAAAGAACATTTTGTTGTATTTACTGCGCTAAACGGATATTTGTTATGATTTTGTTTTTGACTCTCTAGTTAACGATATTGGTACAAATAAAACTGTTGTTTTGCATAATCTTTCGCTTGGTCGTAAGGTGTTGCTGTGAGCAATAAAGTTTATTTTATACTTGACATTTTCCAATGTCGTATATTGTGGCAATGAGACATCATCTAGAAGTTTTCTAAATTATTGGGATCATATTGATCAAATGAGACCAATATTATTTCATACAGTTTCATGAGCAAATTACGATCCCAGATAAATTCATTATCTGCTGGAGACTCACCATCTATTGATCACAGGGGCATACCTTTTTCTCAATCATTTCACAATAAATAAATTTGAAGATCAATTGGGTGGATGTGGGTTCATCTTATACTAACTAATACCCACACCTATACTCTAAATGAAACAATAATTGACTGAAAGCCTGATTTTGAGCAAACGAAAACAATGGTAGATTATTCATAATTATTCTAGATATTTATTGTTATCATTAAGAAAGTCAAGCGAAGAGGATGGGAGAACTCTCACGAGCAGAATTTAAAAATTCTGTATTGTGCCTATATTTATCATTATTTACATCCACAATCTCTTCATATTAATAAAATTCTTATAATAATTCTACTATGAATTCTATTTATTACATCAGAGTTGTGTCAGAATTCTGATTTCCTAGCAAAATTTTGTATGATCTTACGTACTTATCACAGCAGCTAAAAAAAAATTCTGCTTAGAATTTTGTTTTCCCAGTAGAATTGTGTCCAAACTCTGACTTTTTGACAGAATTATCGTTCATTACGTTCTCTTATTTCTCAAAGATTAAATTTTCAGTTTAATGCCAATGTTGACGAGTTTCAACAAGATATTAATCAATATATTCAGGAAAGCTCATCATGAAACACAACATTATGATTTGAATCATCTTGATGTTCTGCGTGCTGAGGAAAATATCACTCGGATTCGTTTCAGTTTTTGTAATGAAAAACAACATAATGATTTAAATCATGTTGAAATTCCGCATGTACAAAAAAAAAATATCAATCAGAATAATGTCAATCTTTGTCATGAGAAACACCATAAATCATGTTGATGTTCTACATACAGACAAAAATATCAATTAGAGTACTATCAATATCTCTGATAAAAAAACAACTTAATCACTTGGACATTATTAGTCTTGCTTGTGAAGAAACGAATATCAACTTGAACTATGACAGTATTCCTCGTAAAGACCATAATATTAGGTTGAGGAAAAAGTTCGTGCGCCGTGTTAAAATAATGATTTTTTATGCATGAATTTATTCAAAAACAACAACAACTATTCTTCAAAATAAAGACCATCATTGTCCACGACCTTCTGCCAACGATCTGCAAGCTTTCGGATTTGGTCAAAGTACCACTCCTTCGGGTTTGAATCGAAAAATTCTTGACATGCTTCTTCAACTTCATCGAAGGACTCAAATCGGCGACCTTTCATAAAGTGCTGCATTGATCGGAAGAGACCGTAGTCAGATGGAGCAACGTCTGGACTATAGGCTGGATGCGGCAGAACTTCGACACCGTCCAATTCTTCAAACTTCTTGCTGGTGTTTCTGGCGGTATGCGGCTTTGCATTGTCTTGTTGAAACAAAGCGCGTTTTCGACGAACAAGACTTGGGTACTTTTCAACCAGCGCATCGTAGACTCGATCAAGTTGCTCGCAGTAAAGTTCAGCGTTGATGGCGCCACCATTCGGCACAAGTTCAAAATGCAAGATTCCTTCGAAGTTCCACCAAACGCAAATCATGATCTTCTTTCCAAATTGATTTTGCTTCGGAACGGATGGAGGAGTTTGACCTTTTGGGGCCCAACGCTTGCTTCGATCGTGATTGACCAGGTAGACCCACTTCTCATCTGATGTCACAATTCGCTTCCAAAAACGGTCATCCAACCGATTGTTGAGCAATTGGCGGCAAATTTCGACTCGTTTGGCGGCTTGTGCTTCGGTCAACTCGTGTGGATCTTGTCGTGGCTTTTTGTGGACAAAGTCAAGTTGCTTGAGATGATTCCAAACTGTCTTCTGATCGACACCAAGTTCTTCAGCCAATTCGCGTGTGCTTGATGACGGCTCAACATCCAAAGCGGCTTGCAAGTCTCCTTCGTCCAAAACCATTGGTCGTCCGGAACGCGGCCTGTCTTCAAGATCAAAATCGCCTTCATTGAAACGCTTGAACCATTTCTGTGCAGTTCGCGGTGCCACCGTATCTTCACCTTCAACGTCGCAAATTGCTTTGGCAGCTGCTTTTGCATCCAAATTCTTTCTCCAATAATGACGCAGCAATACGCGAAGCTCAAAATTTGTGATTTCGTAATCAGACATCTTAAAAAATCAATAAATTTTCATAATAGCCACAAAACCAGATCAAAAACACAAAAAAAAATATATAAAAAATCATTATTTTAACACGGCGCACGAACTTTTTTCTCAACCTAATAGTTTTTTTTTTTTCAGCACAACAGTGTGACGAACGCGATCAAAGTCCCAAACAGAAAATTTAATATATCAAGAAATAGTTGCTCTCGTTTTTTAGTTTTACATTGTATATACATTAAAGTATATATTGGGTATTCTTAGTTTTCTTGATCCAGACCAAAAAAAAAATGAAATAGACAACGTTGATGTATCTGAGGTCGCATAAAATATTAATTTGAATGATGTTAACATTTGTCATTTAGATGCAGGGATTAGCCTACGTTCTGAAACACGATTCTCCTAGGGACGTCAAATTCCAGTTAAAATCTGCTATAAAAAAAAAAGCTCTCAGAATAATGCTGATTTAGATGCAAAACATCAACATGATTTGAATCATTATGTTGTTTTCCATGACAAGGATTGACATTTTCCGGATTGATATTTTCCCTTACATGTGGAATTATATCATGATTTAAATCATGTATTAAAAAAATGGATATATATGTAGAATGACTTTTATGTTTGTGTACGATCAATAATTTATATAGCAGGACATTTTTGGTCTTTTTAACAACCATTTTCAACTTGTGGAACTGTTTGATGAAAAATTAACAGTATAAAAAAAATTGAAGATGAAAAAAATAAACATATTAACATGAAAAACGAATATGTCCATAAGGTATAAACCAGACATATATAGGTGACACTGTGAGTAGCGTCCTGCGTGACTCGTATTATTGTTATGATCACGATCACGATGGCAAAAAAATATCTTCTCAGTCGCGTTCGCGATCACGATAATTCAAAAAGTATTTCATGAACACGATCACAGTCACGAACTTCAGTGCCGCATCACGATCATGATAAATCACGAAAAAAAAAATGATAGTTACTGATCTTTCGAGAAAATTTTTTCTTACTATCTGGCAGTGCCATCTGTACGGAATATTTCATTGGATCCAATTAGCACGAACAGAAACAGATATTGGAAGTTGCTTGTTTGTTATTTATTTGATTATGCTTTTCAAAAAGTGATAATGAAATATAAAGATGATTTATTTTTATTTTCTAGATGTTTAATGCTAATCATGTTGACTTAAAAAAAAAAGAAATAGAATAATTAATTGAAGAAAAAAATATATTAATTACATATACGAAGCTAAAAGAAACGACAAAAACATCTAAATCTTAGTCTCAATTTAGTCAGATCTGTATTGCAAATGTCAAACAAGATTATATAGTATGTGATATATGTAAATCCATCTTAATTTATAAAGGAGCAATTGGATCCGGTGGTATGGTGCGCCATTTACGTTCTTGTCCGTTAAAAACTACGGATTCAGATTTATCTTGTCAGCAAGCCAAAATAAATCAATATTACAAGTCAACAACAAATGAATTAACAGTAGTACCAAAACCTATCAAAGATGCTGTTACAACAACTATTACTGAATTTGTAGCACAAGATGGACAAGCTTTTCAGCTGGTGAACATTTTTGGTTTTATTAATCTTGCTGAACAATTGTTTAATAGTGGTAAACTCATATCATCATCACCTAATATACATATTGCAAATATTTTAACTGATCCTACTACTGTGAGTAATTTTCTGTTAGATATTATTAGTAGAGTTTGAAATAGAAAAAAAAAATTTTTTTCTTCAGATAAGTAGACAAAAGCGATCGAATGTATCCTCATCGTGGAGTCCAATTAATAATATACTTACGTTTAATGGATAGCTATTGTTTCACAGTGGATTTCTGGTCAGAATATTATACTGGTGATACACATATTTTTCTTCTTAAACAAGAATATATTTTGCAATTTTTTCTTGATGGTATTGGAATATCAATCACATACATTTGTTTTTGGTTGTTTTCCACATGAATTGAAAACAAATGGGCGCCAACAAGTCGATCATTCGTTGATGATATACTTCATACTTTTGATATTAAATTAGATGAAGAAAAATATGTTATGAATGATAATGAACCGATAATGAAACGAACATTTAGCCAAGGTTGTAAACGGGTCGGATGTAGTGATCATTACTAGAATAAACAATTAGAACATGCCTCTACGTCAGAAAAATTGATAATGAAAATATTAATAGTGAATTAACACAAGAACTGTTTCGTGATATTAAATTTATTGTTGGACGTGTTTGTCGAGGTCATAAACAACAAAATCTTTCAAACTAATTAATATTGTACGGTGAAACACGTTTCAGTGGTGTTTATAAGATGCTGAACGTGTTTTTATTGGTTTTTGATGAAGTAGCTTCTATTCTTGATAATAAACTTTTGGCAATTTATTTACGAATAGGTAAAGATTTATTGACTGGTTTATGCGAATTTTTATTGCTGTTTGATACTGTTCTTGATAGATTAAGTGATAATGAACGACCGATACTTCATCGTGTATTACTATTTAAACAGTTTTTAATTAACAAGTGTGAAATTAATGATGATGAAAAAGAAGATTCAAAACATTTGAAGTTATTCTTATGTAAGAGTTTCTACCAAATAAATGGCAAAAAAAGTGGAAATATTGTTTTTCTTTTCCAAGTAAAAGATTAGTCGAAACATGGGAATTGTCAAATGAACATTTGATTGCTACATTGGTTTATCCAAACTTGAAATATTTTCATATGTGCCCACATGAAAGAACATACAATTCTTTTGTTAAAAGAAGAAATGTTTTAATAAGAGATACTTCAACAGCAACACAAACGTCGTCATGTTCATCATTATTATCCACTACTAGATTATCTTCAACAAAAAACTTATTGGTACAAATTTACGATAAATCAAGTACAAATAAAGAAAAATCAGTTATTGAACAAGAAATAGAAGATTATCTTAAATCTAAATCATCATTATACGATGAAAAAAATGATGAATATTCTTGCGTATTGGAAGGAATATTCCAAGTCTAATCAATTGTTTAACACAATTGCACGTGATGTTTTAGCTATTGCTGCTTCCAACACATCTGTTGAACGTTTATTTTCCTCTTGCAGAATACTATCACAGATAAGCAGAAAAATTTGCATCCTTTAAAAACAATGTTTGATTTTAATTTTAGTCAAACAAAAGATTATCAACAAGTTAAACGTAAATAATATGCAACCACATTCGATCAACAAAACTCGTCGAAGAAGATCAAACCATACGATAATTTAATTGATATTAAAAATAATAAAGAAAGTTTAGTTATTATTTCAGATGACATTTATCAAATGATCATTTGAACATATCGTTTTCTTTATATTTTTTTCTATTTAATCATGGTTTAGTAGTTCAAGTTATGTTATTTTTTCATTATGAATAGTACGTACATTGGTAAATAAGTGTTTGTTTTTTTATGTAATTGCGAAAATTTAAATTTTATAATAAATAACGGTAATTTGAACTACTTTTTATGGTTACCCCGGATACTAACCAAGAGACATATGCGCATATATTCACATAATATGAGAATATTAATACCATAAAATGCTAAATTTCAAGACAATATATAAGCAATATCATGTAATATCAATATTATAAATATTCATATTATAAGACATATATACGTATAACAACATGAAAATATTAGTATTATGTAAAATCGAAACATCTTAGCATCATGGGATATATATAATCTAATAGTTATCATTATAATAGTCTATAACACCACAACCAATATGAATCATATGTAATTAAGAAACCTAACATTAATACAGTATGGACATTTTCGTTGTTCTTTGTTCATGGTAGTTTTGGCTTTTTTCTCTTTAGTTTTTCTTCTACTGTTAATTTTCCATCAAAAGTTCCAAAGGTTGAAAAGGGTCATCAAAAAGATCGAAAATTTTCTGTTATATAAATTATCGATCATACATAAACATAAAACTCATTCTACATATATATTCATTTTTTTAACGCATGATATGACATACGAATCTCAACATATATTATTTTAATTTCAATATATAATACTTTAGGAAGTCGGACATAAAACTTGAGCGATAAATACTTATTAGGCAGTAAATTATCTTGTAATCAAAATTAGTCTAATTAATTTCTACATAGAGTTACGATTTTATTATATTATTATTACAGTTCTATAATGAAAATGGTTATACATGGGTTAGATTATTTAAGGTTTGTTAATCACATATGATTCATACTGGTTCGCAATTCTCATATAAGTTCCGAATTCTGAAAAAACTCTGCTAGAACAACAAAATTCTAAGCAGAATTTTGCTTTAGGTGCTCGGCATAACTATGTAAGGTCATACAAAATTCTCCATGTGATACAGAATTCTAACTAAATTCTGCTGGGAAAGCAAAATTCTGAGCAAAGTTTTAGTTCATATATGTACGTGATGAAATACAATTCTGCTAGGAAATCAGAATTCTAAGCTGAATTCTGATTTCTACGCAGGAATAAAAGTATAAAATGAAACACATAAGCGTACAAGGGACATTGAATCAATGAGCAAATTCTTGAAATTTGCTTGTGATGAAATGTGCCACTGCTGCAAACAAAATATTTTCATTTGTTTTTTATTGAGATGAATAATTAAAAATAGAACGGAAATTGAAAGAAAAAAAGTGGTTCAGAATACAAAAAAATAAAACTAGCTACTTGCGAGAATAAATAAAAAATAAAACTATCTACTTGCGAGAATAGATTAAAAAGTGGAACTAGCTACATGCGAGAATAGATAAAAAAGCTGCGTATTAGAGAATGTTCGTTGATTTTTGAGACAGTTGATTGAATCGTCCCATTTAAAGATGTAATATTTGATTTGTAACATAGCCCCTACAGAAAAAAATAAAGCTGTGAGTGCAATTTCTACGGGATTAAAAGGACATGATTCTTCATCCTCCTTTTAATTCTTCAGAAACGGAATAAGGAATTGAGTTATCATTGGCACTCTATATTGTGGCAACTTACCTGACTTAAACATCTTATTCAAATATGCTTCTCGCTTCAAAGAAACGATGAGGGGCACTTGCCTATTCTAATCCACTAAACATGAAAGGACAACACAAACTAATAATTCATATATATTCTTCCACTCGACGCAATGCTGTCACGTTCACCGTATCCTTTAGGAGCACTAGACTAAAGAATAATTCCTAAAGACCAACTATTCAAATATTTTTGTGGAATTCAAATCAAAGATTTTTAGTTAATAACATCATCAAGGAACACTCGATCAAG